ACTATCATCACTCTCCTATCCATCATCATCATCATCATCATCATCATCGCTTCATCATCATCATCATCATCATCATCATCATCGCTTCATCATCATCATCATCATCATCATCATCATCATCATCATCATCATCTCTATCGTTTTCTATTTGATGCCAGCAGTCAAACATCCACCTCAGTAGTTTGATCGCTTCTCCATCATCCCTGGGATCTCGTCCTGCACATAAACAGTCAGATCCTGCTCCACCAACACCTCCTCTTGCTCTTGCTCTCAATTCCCATTTTTCTCCTCTCTTTCTCTTTCCTTCCTCCTCTTTCCTCTCCTCCCTCTCGCACCTTTTGAAGGCCTCTCCTCGATTGGAAACGTCCATAGATATCTGCAGAGGGCAACGATGAGCAAAGGAGAGGAAGAGAAGGGAGGAAAGAGAAAAATAAAGACGAAGGGAGGAGCTGGGGTGCTGGGGAGATGGGGAGATGGGGAGAGCAGAGGAGAGCAGAGGAGAGCAGAGCAGAGAGGAGAAGAAAGGGAAGGAAGGGGAGTGGTAAGAGGAGAGATTTTGTCTCTCACTTGTCGTAGTAGGCATTGTCAGCAAGGCCGAAGTCCGTGAAAGAGAACTGAGAGGTGTGAAAGTAAGAGCGACGGCAGGATGAAAACAAAAGAAGGAGAAGGAGAAAGATGAGAAATATGAGAAAAGGACGAGAAGAGAAAGAAGAAGAGCAGAAGAGAGGAGCAGGAGCAGGAGCAGGAGCAGGAGCAGGAGCAGGAGCAGGAAGAGGAGGAGCAGGAGGAGCAGGAGGAGCAGGAGGAGCAGGAGGAGGAGGAGGAGGAGGAGGAGGAGGAGGAGGGGATAGGAAAAATGGAAGAGGGGAAAGAAGATCTACTCCCTCCGATCACCTCAGGAGGATCAAGCAAGTTAATGCGGGAGAGGTCGGATGGGTCACTCTTGCTCATCTTGGAGGTCCCGTCCTGACAGATCAAATCAACAAACACAAGTTAACACGTCAAGAGACTCAAGACATGTTCAGAACAGACACAAGTAGATGAGACGATGAGAAGGCAACGATGACGACAAGGCAACAAATACAAGAGCACAAGAAAACATGACAACAAGAAATCACAAGAAAAAGACAGCAAGAGACAAGAGACAAGAAGTCAACAAGTCAAGAAGTCATCAGCACAACACACACAACGAGACAGCATCGCTGCATGACATCATCATCTCATCACCTGCAAGCTCATGACGCGAGCTCCTTCCTTGACTATCAACGCCTCAGGCTCTCGGAACACTCTCCTCCCCTTGGCTGGCATGCTCTTCTTCTTGCAGTACTGGTCGTTGAACCTCCTCGCGATGTCTCGCGCGAGCTCCAAGTGCTGCCTCTGGTCTTCACCGACAGGCACGAGCTGCGCCTGGTACAGCAAGATGTCTGCGGCCATGAGGATGGGGTAGTCGAAGAGGCCGATGGAAACAGACTCTCCCTGCTTCTTCGCCTTTTCCTTGTACTGGATCATCTTCTCCATCCAGTTCATCGGCGTCACGCAGTTCAGCAGCCAGCACAGCTCCGCATGAGCCGGCACATGGCTCTGGATGAAGACTTTGGACTTGGCGGGGTCGATGCCGGAAGCGAGGTAGAGCGCAGCAATGTCCAGCGAGGATTTCTGGAGCTCCGAGGGGACGTGCGGAGCTGTGATAGCATGGAGGTCGACGACACAGAAGTAGTTCTCATACTCGTCCTGGTTCTTCACCCACTGCCTGTCTACACGTCAGCCTCCTCCTGCTCCTGCTCCTGCTCCTCCGGTTCCTGCTCCTGCTCCTCCTCCTGGTCCTCCTCCTCCTCCTCCCCTAGAGCACTTCCTCACCGACCCTCAGCAGCTGACCTCATGTCACTTGGCTTCCCCTTCGCGCCCTCTATTCTATCTCCATCTCTTCCTCCCTCCTTCCTCTGTCCTCCTGCCTACTGACTTCACCCTCCTCTCTCCTCCCTCCTCTCACCTGATAGCGCCCAGATAGTTTCCGAGATGTAGATTTCCAGTCGGCTGCACGCCAGACAGCACTCTCTTCCTCACAGACGACTCCTGCTTCTGCTCGTCTGTGCTGTCCACAGTCGTGGCCGTACACATCAGGCGCGCGGGACCAACTTTAGGGCCCCTCCTCAACTTGGAAGAGAACAGGAACGATGGGGAGGAGGAGGAGCGGAGAGAAACTTCGGCTCTGTGCATGAACGGTGTCCTGAAAGCAAAACATCCCGCAAGGTTCACAGCCACAGTGCTTGCCAGCAGCCTTGAGTGTACTTTCCTCATCATGCAGGTTGGGTTGGACAGGAAGGAAACCACTGCAAACACCTCAAAGTCAACAGGATATCTACGTTGAAGCCCTATGTCATCCCATCCTAGATCCATCCCCCCTTTTAGGATCCCCTTCAATCACACTGATCTTCCGTGAACTTCAGTCCCCTCCCCCCTCTCCCCGTCAATCCTCTCCTACCTCTCGTTTCCATCCTCATCCCTTCGCATCTCATCGCATCTGGTACCGCTAGTCTTCTCTCATGTAGTCTGATATCATATCATATCATATCATATCATATCATCTGATATCATATCATACCATCTGATATCATATCATACCATCTGATATATCTGATATCATATCATGTCATGTCATGTCATGTCATGTCATGTCATGTCATGTTTGCCCTTCTCTTTTCCTCATCTCTTGTCGGGCATCTTTGTAAGCTCATATAAAGCGGCCTCCCGAAACTTCCGTCGTTATATTTTTCCGAGACTGCAGTTTTAAAAGTTTCAACGTTTCAAAGTTTCAAAGTTTCAAGTTTCAAAACTGCCGCAGCTCTCCGGGAGCGGCCGAGGCTCTGAGAGCGGCCCACTGCCAGTCACTGCTGACTCACTCGCTGGCGGAACGGTCCTAGTCCGAGACGGCCCGGCCGGACATCGTGTGGCAGTTACTGGGCCACGTGACGGTGGCCGTGACCGTCGCCGGGGTGCCCCGGCCCGCCGCGCCGCGTTTCAACTGGCACTGTTTGAATCATGCGGCGGGGGTACCGTCTGCCTGGCTGGGAGGCTCGGACCGTCGTATCCCGACTCGGCGAAGCGGCGGTTCCAGGCTGGGCCCGGAACTTCGGAACTCCGATGCGGCCCGGCGGGCATAGTGAGTGCAATAAGATGTTACCGTACTAAGTTAAGCACTGAGCGCCGTTACTTTCAATTAAACTGAGCCTAGTACTGGCCGAGACTCAATACGCCGGGTACAGCTCAGTGCCGGGCCCCGGGGCCCATGCGATTATTGGATTCATCAAGGCCTGAGTGTGATATCCTATGACAGTTCGTGAGTTTAATCAGAACGACTCCAGTACAGGCCTCGATCATCATCGGGATGCTAGGCAGCCAAGCTACCCGATCCCAGTGGCCTGGCAGGCTGATCACGCTGGTTCCGGCAAGCTCGTCTCAGAGTCATTTGAGTCAACGGGCATCAACTCCCGAGCGCTGGTGACCAAACCTTGGAGGAAACCTCCTACATCCTCTCGCGTGCCCTCGTCCTCTGCCTCTTTCCCATCGCAGCTGCCGTTTTGTACCTCCACGCTCTCAACAGGCTGGATCTCCCAACCCTGCTTCAGAACCTCCACCGTGGTGGAACGAGCACTCTTGCTGTCGTTGTTGATGTCCGGCACCACAGCCCTCGAAGGTTTTCTGAGCTGATTGATGGTCATGACGATGCGGTTTGCTTCTGAGCAGAGGCTGAGGAAGGCCAGGGGAACGAAAGAGACAAGAATCAAGGCCATAAGGTGCTCGTGCAAAGTCTCTTCGCTGATGAAATCAAGATCGTAGAGAAACAACGACAAGGTGATGCCGACGTTGCCGGACACTGCCAACACCTGCGCTATCCATTCGCGCAGATCAATATGAGGGACGGAAAAAAGGACCAGCAGAAGTTCGATGATCGTGAAGCCCATCAAGAAGACCATTGGCAACATCAACAACCAGGGATAAAACAACTTGAGCCAGATGCAGTACACGTAGTACCACCAAGTCTTCTGCTTCAATGCCTGTATCAGAATGCCGAAGCGATTCATGTACAGCCAAGATTCTTCGTGGGTTGCGCAGTCTCGGGGATGTACGAGCCACCTTCCGAGTATGACAGGAACAGTAAAGACTCTTAATGTTGTTCTCTTGTCCCTGGCAAGACTCTTTGTGTCCTCTTTCCACTTGTTGACGGCCTCCTGCAGTGAGACACTTTCCCATGTGACCTTTCCTCTCGCTCCAAGCCTCGCCAACCACACCAATATCAGCCATCCCGCAAACACGACCATGTAGATCAAGATACCGAGCAACAAGTCAGTCAAATTTCCATACCACATCCCGCTGGAGCAGACAATAGACAGGCCTTGAACTTGCGTGACGCAGACAGCAAGCTCCCACTTAGGGAACGGAGTCATCCTGACGTGCCCTTCCTGTCCTTGCATGCTTCTCGCCATCCGATGCTTCATGAGCTTGTTGGACATCAGACGCAAGAGGCTCACGAGCATCAATATGAGTACGCACCAGAGCAATGTATCGAGAAGCCTGCGGTCATGTGTGACAGAGGTACTCTGTTCGAAGACAGCCGTGAACCTATAGTTTAACCATTGGAGATCGCTTGAGAGTATTGCGAGGGGTTCGTCCCAAAAGGCCCCGCCCCACCCACTCATTATTCTGTCACTGTGCAGTCCGATGAGAGCGAGGAACTGCGTTTGCAGGATGAGGGGTACAACGTAGGAAGCTCCTTCGGCTGTCGGCTTGGAGCCAATGGTTTCAGCTGAGGGAGAGCTCGGAGCCAGGGAAAGAAGGTCGACAGCCGTGGTGATGGTAACACTAGCGATAGCTACAACCGTCGTGATCGTGATCAAAGTCGCGACCGCTCTCGCGGTCTTGGGAGTCAAGGCAGGTAGATCGCTTGGCCCCTTTTTTCCTTTGGAACTCTTGCTCTTGGATCGCTTGGATGATCTTCTGCTCATCGGGACCTCGTCCCCTCGTCCTTCCCAGCATCCGGTAGCGAAGCAGTGAGCTGAAACATCCATGGCATTCACTTGCTCGGCTGACAACTCGCAGAGGCTCAAGAGAACTTCTCTCAGCGTGTCGCAGCATATCCTCATCCCATGCCCATCAAACCCGCTCCTGAAACCTGGACAATCGTCGTCGGAGAGGCAGCCGTCCTCCATGTGAGAGGGGGTAAGAGGACAGATGTGAGAGCATCCGATGTCAGGTCTGCTCTGAAAGACATTCACATATCAACGACCTGCTCAAACCGACAGACACAATCATATCATGAACACATCGAGACAAGAAGACAATCATATCATGAACACATCGAGACAAGAAGACAATCATATCATGAACCCGTCGAGACAAGAAGACAGTTTGTGAGTGAGACATTTGCAGCACCTGTGCGCCAAACTTTTGGCAGTACAACGACAAGGAGCGGTGAGAGCAATCATCTGACGCATACGGATGATTTCCAATCGAGCTTAGAGAGTTTTCTGCATCTTGCATTGACTCGCAAGATCCTACTGTGATGTTGAGACGTCCGCAATGATCTGCATTTGAATCATACACGTCTCTTGTCACTGGTGTACTTCATGTAATACCGTAAAAAGTCTTGGAGGCCTTGTAGCAAGTTCCTGCAGCTTCACAGGAGCTGAATGACGAGAGGAGGAGGAGGAGGAGGAGGAGGAAGGGGAGGAGGCGGCGGGGGAGAGTTGTTCCAGTCATCGTAGAGGTGTGCATGGAAGCGAGCATAAGGCGTCTGACCTTGGACTCTGTTCCAGCTTGTGGGTTCAATTTGGGACGCATCTCTCATACGCCTAGGTGGATGCCATAGCACTGGTTCTAGCATCTCCTGCTAGTTCCTAGGCTTCATAGGACTTCTTCGGCTCCGGCTGCCTGCCGGGCCAGGCCCCGGCACCCGGGTTGAAACCGTTGAACCGGGCCGCCCGGCCGGGCAGCGCGGCGGCTGAGTCACCGGGCCCGGCGTCCGAGACGGTGAGTCGGTGCGGCTAGGCTAGAAGAAGTACCAGTGGTGATGAGATGAGATGAGATGAGATGAGATGAGATGAGATGAGATGTGATGTGATGTGATGTGATGTGATGTGATGATGACAGTGATGCGAGTCTGGTGAGCGAGGGGTCACACTCCGTGTGAGCTCATCCCTCCTCCCTGACAGTGCCCAGCCACGGTGATCCAGCCGTCGACCCGACCCCCCCCCGCCACCTCGCACCCACGCGCGCGCGCGCGCGCGCGCGCGACGCG